TTGATCACAAGTTGCTTCTGTATACTGCTCATTAGTCCCCTGTCTCCTCTTTTAAAGGCTTGCTTTTTCTGGTAAAGCAATTGCTCCACATCACTTATTATCCATGGTTTATTATTTGGAAAGCATTTCACTCTTCTGGTGTGGATAGTGTTATCTACACATAAGTTTATGTAATCATTCAAACACTCAGTCATTGCATTGATGTCCTCTCCATGTGGCTGACACAGCGCTTCCCAGTCTATAACCTCAAAAGAACCTTGCAGGGCTTCTTCAGTTTCCTTTGACCATCTTCTTAGAGTGTTTTTAATGCAGCTTGTCTGATTGCAGGTTGTCGGAACAGATTACATCACATGCAGTGTTGGCAACCGCATAAGGTGGTATATAAACGGTTCCTAAAAGAACACTGCTGAACTCTCTGTGCAAATAATATGCCTGAAAAACCAACTGCCAACAGTTCAATATTTTGGCTACAGTGAAAAATGTTCACAATAACGTGTCCCAGATGACACCATCAGAAACACTGCTAACCCACATCCTTTGAATTTCCCAGTCCTCTCTGTCTGCATGTATGGTCAGAAGGCCTGGTATGGAGACACTCGAGTTACATGTGATCCTGCAGCCAAGTTTCAGTCAAACACATTAAGCCCGGCATACACTGTACGATTTTCGGGGCGATTTTCCAGTCGTGCAAGTATTTTTCGATCGGGCCGACTTTCAGTCTGATCGTGCGTCGTTAGTTGTTGTAGTGTACAGGGGGTAATGAGGGGCAATCAGCCTCTCAAGATCACCTCCTGATCAGGAATCGTGAGGTCGGGAGAATATCAAACATGTTTGATTTTCTCCCGACCGTCGTAGGCAAATCACAATTTACGAATAAAAACTAAACTTTTTATTCATATTTGCATGTAATTCAGCAGTGTTTGTCCCTAAGTGTAATAAATTACCAAAAGTGCATCAAGGTTTTCAACAGACATTTATCACTGTTTGTCATGATCTGGCCTGTTTGCTCCTCCTAGTTAGTAATTCCTTTCACCTGTCGTTTTCCCTCCCTGCCTCAATTATAATTTATTCCTCTCACCTGTTTCTTCTGGATTAAATTCTGTTCAGCGTGAGCATTCGGGCCCAGATTATTATTTGTTTTCTGTGAGTCTGTCTGTTCAGTTTTATTTCATGGTTCATGTCCTGGATCCTGGCGGCCAGTGGAAAGAGGGTTTTGTGTTTGTCTCCTCTCCTGATCGTCCACTTTTCCTCCCCGCTGAGTCCTCTGGGTTTTTGGCTCTATATGTGTGGATGTTCAGTTTTTATCTTAGTAAGCCTTGCTCCAGGGAGGAGACCAGTTTAAAGTCCTGCATCAAGTTCTGGTTCCACATCCTGTCTCGGTTACCCTCTTCCACTGAGCCTGCTCATCTGCACCTGATCCTGTCTGCTCCTGTGCGTGACCACCTGGTCATGCTTTTGGACCCTGTCAGACTCTGAACCATCCTGGGAGCTTGTGGATGGCTGGAAGTCTGGATCCTGCCACCTGTTCTGTTCCTGCCTGATGTGGATCCAGTTCCTGTCTGTTCTGGATCCCTGACCAGGATCGGCCTCCAGCATGTCCTCTGAGACTGCAGCACTTGGGGACATTCTTGGACTGGACTGTTAAACCAGAGTGTATGTGATTGGGTGGTGCCCCACTCCCCATCCTGCAGTGTCCACGAGCCACAGCTCCACTTTAGTTTTTGCTTTATTTAATAAACCTTTTGAACTTTCCTACTGACTGTCTCCCCTTGAATACTGGGTCCATCTGTCCTCGGTTCATGACACTGTTATTTTAAGGAATAAACTTTATTTACATTTATCCATATGCACTGTAAGGGTAATTCCTGAGAAGACAAAAAAATCACAAAAGGGTTTTAGTTTATTTAGCTAGAGGTAACACCTTATTCCTGGCCAAGCCACTCAACCTATCTGACTTTGACAACCTATATTTCAAAACCAGATACATTTCTTTAAAGAAAAATTTATTTTCAGCACCATTGATGTATCATTCATGCATATGTAACTAAACTTTTCAGGTTAGGCAATAGGAATAGTTTTCCTGCTAATATTCTATTGTGTAACCTTATCATACTGTACATGTCACATCATACTGTACGGCGCTTCCTACTACAGATATTAAAGACCAACTCCTTGACTTCAGGTTCACATTTCTGTTCGGGTAAAGATCAAGCTACACTGCAAAAAATGTTAATCTAAGTAAGTCAACAATTCAAAAGTAAGGTTAGACTCTTTACCAACCGAATAAGGCAATTTACTTTTGAAATAAGAAAAAAACAACTGCATTGTCTTATTTCAAGTCTATAATATATAATTATCTTATTTTATCTTATTTTGTAAATATACTCATTCCATTAGCAGATCACCATATATACCTACTCAAATTAAGGTTGTATACATTTATTTTAGGAAGTTTCTACTTATTTTTAGATGTTTTTTTGCAAGTGTAAGTGTAAGTGTAAGTGGTGGACTCATTCCCTTGTAGTTTACAAAGTCCTAATCTGTCTTTCTTTAAATCCCTTTCTACGGCTTGGTTGCTTCATTAAAACTTTCACCAGGGGGGCACAAGTGGGTCAAAATGATATTGATCATATTTTTGATAATGGGGGGTTCTGGATGGAGGTTGTGTGGCAGGTAATGTGCAACAGTCATCTCCCAGGCATCCACCAGTTGGACTTTCACCCCTTTGAATATTGCTCTTAGGATTTTATCACGCTGTAAGGAATACCAGTCACTATTGGTCAGTGTCTTGAAAAGGTCTAATGCTTTGGGATTAGCAGTCCTGATGATGACAAGTGTACCTGGAGCTCTGATCAACAGCCGCTCCACCGCCCTCCGTACATTTAGTAGACGTCGAATATAGACCTCAACGGGAAAAGTGCTTAAGTGAGACCAGATGCCAATGACCACAGCGGTGCCTGTGCCTCCAATCACACTGTCCAGTTCATTGGCAACATAACGTGTCTGACTGGCAGCCATAGTGCCAAAGCGGATTGGCGGACCGTGGCAATGGAATGTCAATAAGATGTTGTTGGCATAATCCAAAGCAAGGAATGGTCCACTCTGCTTTAGGGTTTTCAAGTCAAACTTTTTTAGTCCTGAAGAGAAAACAACAAAAAAATTAGGCAGAAACCAATTATTATCCTGTGGGTAAATATATTTGCCTACCATCTACCTGGTACTGATTCAATTAAGTATTCAAACCACTGCCTGATGGTGGAGTCCCCGTACAGGTGGATCACCTTGTCTTTGAGACACTGGCTGATTGCTGTGGATGTGTTAAACTGTTTAGCCGGAGTGCCGTGTATTACCCGCCACACACCCTGGTAATAATAACCAGCAGGTCTAATATTCAGACTTGGACTGGCATCCCCTTGAAAAGATAAGAAGGACAGTTAAAAATAAGTATGGGAACATAATTGCTAAAATCATATATATTCTTGCTTTTCTTTTTAGTTTCAGTCAAATAAATAAAATATAGAAGTTTTTTTTTTTGTATGTTTGAAGTATTTCAGGTTTTACACATGTATTTATGCAAAAGTGTCCAAAAATTAGCTGATTATGACCTAATGCTTTTTGGCTTGTTAGTGTCAAACAATTCAGATTCATTAAATTTATATAATATGATATATAATGTCCTGAGAACATGGTTACCATGCTAAAATGTTATACCTTTTACTTTTGGCAAAATATCGATATTAGAAATTTCTGAGGCCCGAATGGAGACTTTCATGTTGACACCACTGCAGCAAAGGACAGAAAATGAAAATATTCATGAAAAAGCAAACTTTATAAATCATTTACAGTAATTCCCTCCTTAGCAGAGGTGTTTTTAGAATCTAAAAATGGCAGAAATGACGCATTAATCGCGCGACACAACTAATCGATGATGAAATTCGTTGCCAACGCTTTTAAAAGTCGATTTTTATCGATTTTATCGATTTGTTGTTCCAGCCCTAATATATATATATATATATTTCTGGGGGCATTGAGGGACCCTGCATCGATTCCCTGTGGCCTCACTAAGTACTCTAGGTGTATCAAAGTTTGTCTCTTTGATTGGCTCCACAAGTCAACTTGTTTTATTCTACAGAATACATGCCCCTCTATGTTTTAAAGGTTCAGCTTATACAATGGATGGGATGCTTGTGACTAACTGTAAGCAACCAACCCCAAGAATTTATTTAGCACCAATTAATACTAGGATGGATAGTGTAAATGAAATTAATAAAAATGGCGTAACACTTACCGTTTAAAGAGGTTCCCCTCCCCGGGCTTTAGAGGTTGTTTGAAACCTCCTTCAGCATGGGTGATCCTGGTGTCACAGCCCAGTTTTTTTGGCTTGTAGCAGAACCAGGGCTCACCAGTGCGGACGTCTGTATAGTTGCACAGATTCTGCTGAGCTGCCTTGAGGCATACATTGCATGTCGTGGTTTGGGTGACGGAGCCTGAGCGAAAGATGCTTTTAAAATAAACTCTGTCTGGCTGCTCTTGGGTCACTCTTTCCAGCACTGTGATAGCCTCACTTGGGTGAACCAGGATCACCTTTAGAGAAGAGCAAGATTTTTTTTTTTTCACAGAAAACCGTAAGATAAGTTGTAGTATCAATATCTGTCAAAATAAAATTATACTTTTTTGTTTTATATTGATCTAATGTATAATACAGTATTGTGAGGGCCTTCAAAGCCTTTTTTTTGCTAATCTTAAATCAATCAGAAAAACTAACCTAAATACATAAGCTAAACTTTAATTTTCTTCTTACCAGCTGTGCTTATTTATTCTAAACATTCCATTCTCTTAATTTCTCTTGGCTGCGCTGATTCCATTACATTTATGTTGTCTCTATATAGTTTGTCCAATCAGATTTCAGCCTTAGTGCATTGCCATGTCAATCAAAGGATACTGAAAGCCCAGGGCCTTCTGATTCAGCAGTGCTGGCTGATAATACCTTAACAATATTATTGAGGAGTATTTTCTTCAACCAATCTGATTTCAGATTTGCCCTATGGGGGGCAGCTAGAGGGCCGTGCCCTACATCAGCATTTATTGTCCTCTGATTGGTCAGTTAGAGCAAAATGTTTACAGCCAAGTTAAACTAGAGATAATCTGCATTTTATATTTGCTTTTCTTAAAGGTTTCTCTGGCCTCAATTACTGATACGAAATGGAGATACTAAGACTTCTTGCACAAAGACAGGTTTGTTTATAAGCATCTCTGGTGAGCGTGATATACTTTATTTTCATGCTTTATGCGCTATTTTATCTGGTTATTAGATGCATATCGAATCTGAATGGCTGCTGATGATGTAAATATGGCGGAGCTGTGGTTAGAGAGGATTGAGGTTATCTCATTTGGGCTTCTTGCTTAATTGATCTCTGTATTCACCCTCACACCAAAGTTTGTCTCTATTATACCTATGCTTGTAAATTTCATATTTCAATCTTATTGGTGGTATATTTTATTAAAAATGTAAAAGTGGTGATATTAACCCCTTGACACCCATCCCCTTTGGGAGCAGTGGGCTGCAATTGTGTGGCACATGGGTAAAAGGGTTGGGTTAAGGGTCTTGCTTACAGTCCCCAACGTTTACAGGGCACAAGCTCAGTGCTCTAACCAACTAGCGAGAGGGAGAGAGAGAGAGAGAGAGAGAGAGAGAGACGCACACAAATAAAGCAAGCATTATGATACCCGCTCAATTGTAGTTCTGATAGTTATCCAGCAGATGTCGCCATTATAAAGTGTATCAAATGTATCAAGCATGGTGCCGAGTTTTGGCCAGTTGTGTTAAATTGGTTCACAGGCCTTTAAACTTGCTATCCCTACCTCTAATATAACAAACAAATGTTGAAATTACTCAGTATTTCTTTAAGTGACAGGACTCTGTCTTGCAATAAGACAGATTCTTAAAATGCCTTGCATAAATTGTCTGTATAAGCAATAAGATTTTAGTCCCTCATGGTGCTTATGTCCAGAGTCATAACCACACAATGTGTAATCTATTTTTCAGGAAATCACTGAAGCTTTGATTAGGATATTCCAAAGTATCTGACAGTAAATCGATATGGATGATGTATAATGTATCGCACAAATCAAATAATATGATTAATAAAAAACAATAGTTTTGTTGAAGCTACAGTGTGATTGTTGTATTTGAATGGCAGAAAGCGCAAAAGGATTAGAAAGGTGTTTGCTTGCTGAAGTGGTTGACCTATTTGATGTGGAATGTCAGGAAAACTGGTCTATATTGATGGAGGAGCGATGGATAAGGTCCTTTGTCTACTCAAATGCTAACAACATATAGATATCTGTCTTGTTCTGATTTGTGGTGAGTAGAAACAGCTTTAAAGCAAATTACTATTCTCACTAACTAACTATCAGCACATGTTACTTATTTCACATTGTTGCAATCCATTCTGCCATTCTGAAGATACACCCCTCCAACCGAGGTGAATCCTAAATCCTGAGACAGAGCAGAGCTAATCAAGCTCTGCTAACTGCTGAACAATGGGGGTCCTAAAAGGGAGACGTCCCTGCTACCATGAGTTATAAAACCAACCCCCTTGCAAATCGGCAGTTATTGTTGCATCGGATTGATCCAAATCTCTTGGAGTTGCTGTTGACGAACGGACTGGACCGAATAGGGGCCTGCAGAAACCAGACCAAGCCGAAGACCTTCACTCCTCATCATAGGTTAATGCATTTCTGATTCATTATTAATTTTTCTTCATAAACTGAATGAAACTTTGCTGTTTTGACTGCAGTTAACAATCGTGTTTTAGGGTTTATTTAAATTTCATTTGTTCTACTGCAAAGGACACTTTAAAATGTATTAGTCTTAAACTTTGAACATCACAGACT